CAACATCCCATTGCCTTCTTGAGTAAAAAAACTAACCATACTGAACAGAACTATGCTGTCATTGAGCAGGAATGCTATGCCATCATTTGGGCTGTTAAGAAACGTAAACCTTGTTTGTGTAATAAAAAAATGTCAGGTTTTAACAGATCACGCTGCTTTGACGTGGTTGCACTGAGCTAAAGGAACCAATTCTAGATTACTTTGTTAGAGTATAGCCATACAGGAATTTGATATGGAAATAATTTGTTTAAAGGGAAAGCAAAATGTAGTGGCTGATGCCTTATCAAGAATGGGGTTATTCTGATGCATATTCAGGAGCGTCAGTGACATCCCTTCTTACACCTGTTTTGCATTGGGGGGTATGATGCTGGCAGGTCAGTTGCCAGCTTGTGCCAAGGCTGCAGGCATTAGCTAAGAACTGACAAACTCATAGCTGGAGACCAGACCAGTTCACGTATGTGTTAATGTTGCTCAAAATAGGTATTATAAGAATGTATTTAGTGTTTAGACATGAATGCCCCTATCGTACCTTGGAAACGCTATGTGCAAGGAGGCTTGTCCTATGGACTTGGAGACTGAATGAAGGAAATAAAACAAAGACACGGGAAAATTGTCTCTTTCTTTTCTATTTGAACTCTCACAGGGTCAGAGAAACCAAACTGAAGCCAGAGATCCCCTGGGTAACTCCTTGGTCTGCCCTGAAAAACACTTTGAATTGACAGATCATTACAATTCTGTCACTCTTAAGATTTAGATTGCAACTAATTTGTGTATATGTTTCCTTGCTCTAACCTTTCAATAACTCATTTATTTTTCCTAGTTAATAAACCTTTAAGTTAGTTTATTACAGGATTGGCTACAGGCAGTGTCTTTGGTGTGAGATATAATATACAAATGGATCTGGGGTAAGTGACTAGTGTCTTGGGACTGAAAGCAACCTGAATATTTTGTGATTTTTGGTGTAGGTGATCATTTATCACTACGTCCAACGTGCCTGGGTGGCAAGACAGACTGGAGAGTTTAAAGGGAGTGTGTGTGACTCCATGGCGAGACTGTTATAGTTATCCAGGAGTTCACATTTGTTACTGGCTTGATGAAATTGAATTATAGAACATACCATCAGTTTGGGATGTCTGCGCTGTTTTTGACAGTCTGCCCTGAGGTAGGCATTCAGGGTTGTGAGCCACTCCAGACAGTATGACAACTACTTCTGGCTATAATTTTCTAATACCCTGTATTGGAAATGGTAATTCATTTTTAGTGTGACCATTTGTCAGTGTTCTTGATGGGTGAAATGTGCATGTTAACCAGAAGAATTTCACTAACTAGATATGAATTTTGTTTAGGATAAGGTGCTCCTTCCTTAAAAATTCTAACCATACTGCTATCACCCCACACTCAGAAGTCAAATTGAGTCACATTATTTTAATTCATCATTGTTGACTTCAGTGGATGGCACAATAGCAGAAATAAGCATCATATGATGTTGGAAAACCTATATCTATCTTTTTAAAAATAATCTGACAGTGGTATCATACGGGCTAATATGCCACACTTCCTTACCAAAATATACTTTAAAAACCATCATCCCCAACTTTAATATAATTACATGCTCAAAAACTTCATTACGACAGAATTAAGGTTGTCCAGTGGTACCTTGGGTCCTTCCAGAATGTGGAGAGTAGCTAAACTTTAACCTCTGAAAACCAGTAAATATAATGTTGTTATGGAGTAATTAAATCAGAACAAAGTCACTTTTATTCCCAGAGCGTCTCCATGGAGATTTACACCGGCATAGCTAAAGTTTTATAATTATACCACTATAATTCTGCAAATTGATTTTCCCATGTAGACAAGCCCTTAAACCCAGAAGAGATTAATTAAAAAAAGGAAGAGCATCAGCCCACTATTAGCCTAGTTGGCCCAACAAAATAGAAGTCATAGCTCCAAATAATTTTACGTCAGAACTGAATGCTACATGTCAAAAGGAAGCCGAAAGTCAATAAATGTCATACTATTGGTTACGCATATAAACAAACATGTCTTCTATTACATCTAAAGGAAGGAAGTTTCAGGGTTTTTTTCTAGTTTACTATCTCACATGTAAAAATGTTTTATTGCCTTAACTTTTAGTGTTTAATGCCATTTTGGCATGTTCTCACACTTTTTCCTTATCCATTTCAATAACGCTTTCATTTAATACAAAATTATGACAAGCTCAGAAATCTGCTATTACAGCCTCTGTGTTTGCAGCATTAGTTTACATTTGGGTGTGTAGTTCTCTTTAAATGATGAGCTGTTCCTTATGTAAATAAAAAACAAAGGTCAAGCTCACAGGGCTGAGGAAAAAAGTTCTTGGGGAAAAAAAGAAAAACTAGTGCAGATAGTCTATCACTACAGGGTTTTGTGCATATCTCAGGATATTTACTTAATATGGCAGTGTATGTTAATTATGCCAGCTATACATTACTATGTAAATACTAATGAGCTCTATTCAAGGTACAGATAAAATTGTATTTTTAATACCTGATACACATATCAGAAGCTAATGAAAGAAACTAAAGCTATGATCCTGCAAATGCTTATGAATGTGAGAAATTTTCACATGTGAATAGTCACACAGAGTTTGCTTATCTGTAAAGATACTCCAGTGTATAAATGTTTGCAGGACCAGGGTCTAAATTGATAAATCTTTTTCATAACTGGCATGTCTAAGGGCCAACTCCCACAGAAGTACTGAGCACACACAACTCCCACTGAAGTTTTAACATATTCTAAACCAGTGGCTCTCAAACTTCTTTACTGGTGACCCCTTTCACATAGCAAGCCACTGAGTGCAACCCCCTCCTTATAAATTAAAACCACTTTTTTATATATTTAACACCATTATAAAAGTTGGATGTAGAGCAGGGTTTGGGGTGGAGGCTGACAGCTCGCAACCCCCCATGTAATAACCTCACGACCTCCTGAGGGGTCCCAACCCCCAGTTTGAGAACCTCTGTTCTAAACCATATACTGAAATCAATAGAAGTTACCTATGCTTGATGCTTCTTAGGACCAGTCCATCAGTTTTAAATGACTAATTTAATTTAGAAAATATTGTTGATTGAATGTGAAATACCATAATGAGTCTATCATAAAATTACGTTTTACAATACAACATTGGCCTTAATCATGTCAATAGGAGTACTCAGGTGCACAGAGTTAAGCATGAGCACAAGTACACTTGGTCTCCAATCCCACAAGAAAAAAAAGTCCTGCCAAATGGGGCTAAGTGTTGCTGACATAGTTTATTTTGTTGTTTTTTGGTTTGTTTTATTTTGGAATATAATCTCCAAATTGTACTCTATGTTGGGGGGTCTGGAACAAATTTAGTAGAATAAAGGTGTTGCCACTCTGTTGGCATACTCCCTGCTAACAATAACATTGATTTAGATTATGGAACATGCTGGGGGAAAATGGCCTCCCTACGAAACACACCATAAGTGTAAGCAACCAGTCAGCACACTCCAGACATGCTGCGATGCATCCTTGCCACTGGATAGTCAAACTGTGAACTAGCTGAGAACTCCTCACCACTGGGTCCTCCTCCACAGTTGACAAGATCCTGCTGTTTTCTTGCTCCTTCCACTACTCTGGCCAGAATGCAAAACAAATATTAAAAAAAAAAAAAAAAAGAACATGACCAAGACACAAAAAATGAAAAGAAAGAGTGTAAAAATAAATGCAGTATAAAATAAGAAATGATATATTCTACTAAAAAAATTCATCAGGGTGAACTTGTACTAAAGAAAATGGTAGATGATGCCTGTGAGCATCAGTTTACAGTTTTTACATACAAGTCACACATATAAACTGCTCCTTGAATGTCTGCCACTGGTGTTCCATTTCCCATGCTGCCCAGGCACCAGTCAGAAAAACTGCAGGATTTTGAAGCAAATCTAACACTGCAGTGTGGAAGCAACATAAGTAGAGCTCTTACTCAATGGAGTAAGATGACTTGCATTGGTAATAGTGTGTGCTCAGAAAGGAGGAATAGACTTGGTCATGAAAAGTAGCACCAAATCAGGGAAGCACAGAGATCAAAGGATACCAGAACCAATCAGCAAGGGGCAAAAAGGGGAGAAGGGACACAAAACAATTGAGAGATGAAAAAATGGGGACTAAGAGAACAGAGACAATATAGGAAGAAGTAAATTTAACTGTTGGCCACAGTTGTTCAACGGATTACATGATACAAGATTGTCTGGGTCCTCCACACCTTGAAGGTGACAACACTAAACTTATAGCTGAACCCCCTTGGTACTGAAGGAAGAAGAAGCCATAGAAACTTTAATCAGTTACAAAACTTATATCAAAATGAAATTAACATTCAATCTTACATATAAATGTTAGTTAATAAGTGTTTTCTCTTTCTCCCTTAAGCAACAAGTAGGCAACTCTGAAAATGGTATGATATGGAAAGTTAGGAGGTTTAATAATAATAATATTAAAAGAAATGCTAAAAATACTTTAGTAAAATAATTACAATAAAAGGGAACTGCTGTAGAAGCAAAATTGGTAGTGAGCAGCAGCTGCTGTGCCAAATCAAAAAGAAAGATGAAAGATTTTCAGCATGAACATCACAGGTTAAGGTGCTGGACTGTAACTCAAAGTCGCACAATGTAGGCTTTAATTAATATCATCACTAAAAATAGATTTATAAGTAAAAGCAGAGGAATAAACCCTTACAGATGCTTGGAAACTGAGTCTTGGGAAAGCAGTCCCAAAGGCCAAGAAAAAGAAAATCTCACCCACAAACATACTCCACCATATCATTCCTGTGCAGATAACTTCAGTCTTTCTGGTAAAAACCGTCTTTGCTAACATTATGGTGAGATTCAGTTTTGTGTAACTTCAGTATTTCATAATTTTAAAATACCAATATAGAACACTGTCCTCAAAGCTACAAAAATATGCAAACAGAAATCTGATTGAGTACATTTGTTAGTTTTCCTTACCTTTAAAAATAACAGAAACAATAGGATCCGGTTTTCCAAATTTAGTTTTAGGGATATTGGTAGCAGATTCCACAATCACCCGAAGCATTGTTTCAAAACTTGGTTAAACCACTGCTGTCAGAAAAGGAACTTAAGAAAGTCTGTGCTTCAGATGCCCTGTGTCCTCCTCCAGACTGAAAAGCTCAGAGGAGGAGGCAGCAAGGAACAGTTTGCTTAGAGTGAAAAAGGGCTGATGGGTGGATCTATGACGGGCTAGTTACTAAAGGCTATAGAAAAAAAAAAAACTACCTGTAAACTGACACCATAATTCCTGTGCAAAGCAAGCACCATCCAGTGAAGTCTGGTTATGTGACAATGAAAAATGTACAATGTAAACAGGATATAAAAAAAAGCCTGAGCATATGAACCTCATATAAGTGATCAGGGAAAGAGGAGTATATAGCTGGCAAAAATTAAACACAACCCTAGTAGTCAGACACACCACAGCTCCCTCTTTTAACTATATTTCTGAATATACCATGTCATTGAACTTTATAATGGTCTACACTTTTCTCATCTTTGCTTTCAATGTGTAATGTTTTAATATATTTCCATGTTTCTTTCCTATTTTGTAAATCCACAAAATATCTACTCTTCAAAACAGTTTAAGTACTACCCATTCTATAGGGCTCAGGTTTTTAATAAACCTCTCTTATACTGTGTAGGCACTATACATTCTGCATTTAAGAACTGCACTGTTATATAAACATTTGTTCAGCCCCTCTAGGAGCAATAATAAAAAATAAATATGTAATAATATGGTGTCTGAAGAAAAATCTGAAAGTTTTTAACCCAAAAGGAGAGAAGACCTTGTCTATTGCTCAGTGACCTGTAAGTGACTGCTTTTAACCAGAGAAAACTAGGGAGTGGAATCCACTGAAATGAAACCAGTCAGAACTGGTGAATCAGAAGAACAAAGAATTGGCTATATCAGTTCAAACCATTAGTATGTTTAGTCCTGCTTCCTGTCTGATGTTTCAGAAGAAAAGAAACCAAACCAAAATTACACAATATATCTATTTGTACAATAAACGTACTTGGAGATAAATTTCATCCTGACCTCTGCAAATATCACATTATGCCCTGGAACCACAGATCTTATTATTTTTAGCTTGTATTAACTGCAAATATTATTGATGGTCATTAAATTGTCCAAGCCATCATATTGTACTTACTGACCTTTAGATGTAATTCATTCTGTATATTAACTATATAGTGTATGAAGTACGGTAGTATTTCATTTCATTTGGTCTACATGAACTGGCTGTTCATTTCCTTAGTTTCTTGGCCCACCTGGTTACTATCTGGTGGGAAGCTGAGAAAAATAATCAAGAGCATAGACAAATTTAATATTATCCATGTGGAAATATACTGATGCAAATACAGATTTCTTACTGTAACTGTCTAGAATGCAAGATCAAGGGGATTTAAGCAAGAGCATTCTATTCCAGAGTAGACCAGTAACAGAGCTCCAAGAACCAATTAAAGTGACCCTTTTTCCCAACTGGTCATACAGTAAGAGTGGAGTATGTAGCATGCATAAGCACAAAAAATGTTACAGAAAACATGAGTTTTAAAATAACTGTAAGGGTCCAAGTTTCCTAGAAAATAAATTAAACTCTGAGTTATACCTCACCCCATTATACTTACACATTGCAGAATCTATATCACAAGCCTGATTCAATTCCACTGCAGTAAATGGAAGTTTGATTGGGCTCCCCCAAACCAGCAATATTTATGCATAACAGCACCAACCTTAGCTGTTGCCCAAACACTCTTCTTTTATAAACCAAAATTAATTTAACTCCACAACAGAAATTCACTCCAGAGTAAAATTTAATTTGAAATCTCAGTGTACAAAGGAACATGTTCGTTTGCAATTTTTAAAACTAGTTTTAAGGGTTGAAAAGAGAAATCTCCAAAGCCAGACTTTAGACATTTAAGATGGCATTAAAAATCCTTTACGTAAAATAGTATGTTGGATACCTAGTTTGTGACCCCGTTTCTGCTATTTGTATTGTATTGTTGTAGGTAACTCGGAAATTTCTCCCCACAGCTTGGTGGTGTATAAACACAGGTGTCTGGTCCAGAGTAGAGGTGATCACTTTCCTATGTTGCAGTTATTCATTTTTCAGACTGACATAGTGCCCAGATGCCAAGGTGATGGACAGTTAACAAACCTCCAGGGGGCAGATATGATCATATGGATTTATTATTCACACGGGGCACCCTGGAGCTGCTAAAGGGAGATTACTCCCTTCCCTGCCTCCTCAGCCCCTCCCCCGCTCCCTTCCCTCCCTCCTTCCTCCCCCAGCCCCCTACTCCCTTCCATCCCCTGCTCCCTTCCCCTTCATCCCCCCTCCGTTCCCCAGCCCCTTCCTCCCCTCTCTCCACTGCTTCCCTTTATCCCCCATCCTTTCATCCCCTTCTTCCAGCCCCCAGCCCTTCCGTGGCTGCTCCCGCCCCTCCCTACTCTCTCCCCTGCTCCATTCCAGCCCCGCCCCAGTTCTCCTTCCGCCTCAGTCCCTTACTTCCCTTCCACCTCCTCTCCTCAGCCTCGCCCACTCTGCCGTTCCGCCCATCCCAAGCCCTCCGCTCTCTCCCCCCGTACCTTCCCCCTTCCCTCAACACCGTCCTCCGTACTGCCTGACCCTTTAGGAACCCCGTAGCTCACTTCCGGCAATGACGGAAGTGACGTTGACAGAGCCGCGGGATTCAAACTCCCGGAAGCGGAGGTGTGGTTGAGTGGAGGGGGATTTATAGCGGTGTTGTTGCCGCTGCCGCCCAGGTAGGTGGGGGTGTCCCGGTGCTACTGCCAGAATGAGCCCGCGGCGAGGGTGGTGGTGGTGGTGGCGGCGACGACTTTGCGGACCTGCACGTAGCGGTCTGGGCCCGGAGCTCTCCCGGCGCGGCCCCGGACCCGCACGGCTGGCGGTAGACGCGCGGCGAACCGCTGCTCCCGGTGGAGGGGCGGGCGGCTTCCCCATGTCCCGCGGGCCCCGAGCTTCCGTGGAGGGAAAACCCCCGATCCCCACTTGTGGCTAGTGACGGCCTCTGTCCATCGCTCCTCGAGCAAACCTAACGCCCCCCGGTCAGGCTCGCTGCTCAGAAGCCTGGGGCCGTGGTAGGCGTGACACGCAGCGGCTCGGGTCTCGCTCCCCTGTGGCGAAAACTGAGCATCAGAGGAGGCAAGCGCTGGAGCCGGGCACAGCGCAGCCCCAGACAGACTGGCTCAGGGGCACCTCTTGAGGATCTGGGGAAGCCTGCAGCGGAGGGGGAAATTGCGGTTGTATCTAGACACCAGGTGCGCCCCCATTAAGATCTTACCCTTTGTTCAGCAGTGCGTCTTGAAGCTGACACTGGTGAAGTGGTGCAGGCAGTTCTGCTGATCATGGGTTAACTGACAAAGTAGTAAAGCATTGTAACTGTGTTGGCCCCAGGGTATTAGAGAGACAAGGTTGGTCCAATAAAAGTTAGTCCAACTTCTGTTTTTGAAAGAGCCAAACTCAAAAGCTTGTCTTGCCAACAGAAGTTGTTTCAATAAAAGTTATTCTCTCACCTGCCTTGTCTCTCTAAGGTAGTAAAAATACCTGTGTCCTAGACACCAGTCGTTACCTTATTGATACTACTGGTCCAAGTGCACCCTTATAAAACAGACAAATCCTCTTGTAGACAAGGCACTACAAGCTGAAAACAAAGAGAAACTATGAAGCTTCTCACCAGTCCAGAGACAACACCTTGATGGGAATTATAGCTCCTTTCCAGTATCTAGGGTTGTGGATTGACCTTTTCACCAGGAGATTGCTGGTGTGCCCTTCATTCTTTTGTAATTTCTGGTTAATAGAGTTTGTCTTCCAGTTAGATCTCGGTAAATGTTCAAGTCCAGAGTTAGAAGTAACTGAAGACAGATGTGCCTACCCTTTTGCTCTTAAGGTGGGGGGTTTGAAAAATGTATCAGAAACATTCTGACAAAACACTTTTTCAGTGGAATTTGCTGCTTAGTCAAAAAGTGAAATGTTCCATGGGTTCTGTTGGAAGTGGCACTCTGTTTCCCTTCACAGAGAACTTTGGAATGCTTTGTTTTCCATCCGTATCAGAACAAAACTAGCTTTCGAAATAGAAAAACCCAGTCTGTTAAATGGAATTACCTTTTTGTGCCCAGCTCTAGTAGCTATGAAAGATAAAGAAGGTCTGGTTCCATCAGTTAGCTCCAGGGACAACTTCCTGCTGAAAAGAAGCCTCTGCTGCTCTGACCTATAGATAATGGGCCTGCTGGTATTTCAGAATGCTTTCCTTGATACTTATCTTTTGGGATTTGTCTCTGATTTAGAGCTAAGATGTGAAAAAATTATTTAAACTTGAAGCACCACCTCTGTCTAATCCCTGGAAGGAACTTCTTGTCTGTCCACTCCAAAGCCTCTTGGCTCCTTTGAGTAGGGACGATCTCTGCTACTCCAAAACCCATCAGATTGGGTAAGGGATAAATAGCCTCTGCTCCTGAGGTTAGATTTCCAAAGCAATAGTGCAGAGCACTGGAGCTATTTTCATTAGCAGTATTATTTATTTGTATTACTGTAGCACCTAGAAGCCCGAGTCATGGACCAAGACCCCATTGTGCTAGGTGCTGTACAAATACAGAACAAAAGGATAGTCTTTGCCCCAAAGAGCTTGCAATCTAAATATCCTGCTTTCATCACAATAGTATCTGAAAGCCTCCAGTAGTACATTATGTGATGTAATTAACATCTGTCACACATTTTGGTTTGCCCTCTTATCCACCCCCCGAGGGAGAATTGTGTGTGTGCAGTGTAGTGTTTTGGTTCTGTTTTCTGGGTTTTTAAATGTACACATTGCTATGTGTGTGTAAGCCCTGGCCTGCACTACAAAATTGTCAATATGATTATGTTGCTCAGAGGTGTGGCAAATCCACATCCCGGAGTGATGCAGTTATACCAAACTAACTCCTGGTGTAGACAGCACTATGTCAACAGGAGAGCTTTTCCTGTCGACATAGCTACGGCCTCTCAGGGAGGTGGAGTAGCACTCCCGTTGGTGTAGGTGGCATCTTCACGAAGCACTACAGCGGCACAGCTACAGTGCTATAAGTGTAGACAAACTCTTAGAAGCGG